TACAACCTGGTCCCAGCAGGATCACGACACTCTCTGGACTGCTTCTGCTGGTCCACGGCCCCATGCACCTTCTTCTGCTGGCCATCCACACCCCAGCTGCTCCTCACATACATCGGCCAATATTCTGGGGCTTCAGCACCTATGAAGAAAGTGCTATCCATGGGGTTTTCATTGCAAAATTCTCACGTGGTAAGCTCGCACAACTGCTGGCCTACCTGTTGTCAATGCACCCCTATTACGCCCGACATGAAGCGAGAACAGGCTATCAGACGCCTGCTCCTGACCATTCAAGTCACAATACTTCGGATGTCTGACTCCAAAGGACACACATCCTGGCCACTTGTCAATCTCTACATTGACCCCCTGATGCTGGACAACTGAACATGGCGTGAGTTTCGCAATGCCGTAACACGTCACGTCTTTGCCCACAGCATGTTTGGCACTGGCCGCATCCACACGAACATAAAACTGTGCCCAGAATGCCTCGGAGCCGACCATCTGCTTGGCCACTGCCTCTACCCCATGCTTGATGGCTGGCTAGGCCCACCACCCACCATAGTTAACAGAGAAGCAGAGCTGCTCATTCCTGCCCACCTGCTGCGCACCAATGACGTCGAGACCTCAAGCTCCTCACCCCAACAGCATGGAGAACATAGTGAACACGGTCGCGGCTGAGGCCAACGTCACAGCCAAAACTATAGCCAGCACCAAGGCCAACGCTGCCACTAAATGTCTGTACTATACTAGTAGACAGAACAATATATTACCTCCACTCATAACATCCGAATGACACAAATACTACAGGCCTGACGGCCCACCTAGTTAACAGTGCAGCTCCGCTGACACCTGGCTCCCAGCGTTGGTCTAGGCACCCTCGGCGGTGCCTAAGCATACCGACGTGGAGCTGGGAGCCCCACACTGAGGGCAGCAGCTGCAACGGGGCCAACAAGCTGCTGTCCACCCTTTTTGGCCCAAATATACTGACCGTACGCGGGACAGGAAAGCCGAGAAGGTTCCCCCCCCTCATTTTTGCAATCCCCATCTGACGCTTCGGCGTCCAGCTGTCTTTTTAGGCGGGCTAGCCGTGCAGAGTTTCTGCTAACTGCAACGGCTGTATCTTAGTGGTGTCCATGCACCCTGAGGTACAGTACGTGCAGGTTGCCCTCACCCAAAGTAAAACCTGTCAATATTGAAACAAACCCTGCACTGTTCCCGGTTCGAGCTCCTTGTGAGACTCAGGTCAGATCTAGCCTCGGTGTGTCCGCTTGGGGAGGAAGTCTACTTGTCGACCCACTTTCTGGACACACGGAGTTTGGTGATAGGCCAGTCACAGAGCTTCGGCTCTCTCCAGCTGTCCATGCCGCAGGCATGGCCAGCTCGCCATCATCGACTCTCTTGTCAAAGCCAGGTGAGGGCCGTACCTCCGCTCCATCACCCGAGCCGCACCCACCACATACATCCCCTGCTACACCCCAGCATACACACCCAGATACTGCGCTGCGGCCTCCTCGAGCCAAACATCAGAAAACCCGAGCTAATCTCCATGTGGCCTCATGAACATGAGAGGCTGAGACACTGACCCTGGATCACACCCTGCATCGAAATGGGCAGACATCAACCAAATAATAAAACAACAAATGACCGCCATCCTGGCCCTTCAGAAGATGCACCTGTCTGACAAACACTTAGTGCGTATTGCTGAACACTACGGACACCGCTTTACAGTATTCCACTCCCCTGACCCCTCTGCTCCTAACGCGCGTGGTGTGGCATTTGTAGTTAATACTAGCCTCATCAGAGTGACCAATGCACACGTCCGCACTTTGGTACCTGGTCGAGCCATCCTCCTTAGTATTCCCTGGCAGAATGACCGCACACTACATCTTTTGAATGTCTATGCCCCGAATGACCCCACTGAGAACCAACATTTCTGGTCACAACTCCTTGAGCACTGGACAACCAACCACTCGCCGCTTCCAAAAGCAGACATCATGCTTGGTGACTTCAACCTGGTCAAAGATGAGCTTGACTGCCTTCCACCGTATGCTGACCACATCAGAGCTGTCGTGGAGCTTAATGCACTAAAAACATGCCTGGGACTCTACAATGGCTGGCACACCACATACCCCGACAAATGAGAATTCTCATTTCTACAAGGTAGTACAGGCAGCCAGTCACGCATCAATTGCATTTAAACTTCACATACCCTACTTCAAACAGCCTCCCAGTGGAACATCATACGCACTGGCCTATTAACAGACCACAGCATGGTTTCAACGCGCCTTGTAAACAGAACAACTCCATTTATCGGCTCTGGATGCTGGACCATGCCACTCTTCTTAATGCACGATGAAAAGATTGCCTCCTACATCCAACAACGGGGGAAAGACCTTCTCCTCCAGATTGAAAATGCCTCCACACAACAAACTGCTGACAACAACCCACAAACCCGATGGGCCTCCTTCAAAACAGACATCGTAACCAAAGTACGAAATCAAGCACGCACCGCAATCCCCAAGATGGAAGCAAAAATCAAACTGCTACGAGCTGAACGTACTACAATCCTGGCCCAACCTAACATTGACACCAACTCAAGGTCCCAATGTGATGCTGGACTCTTACTCAAACGCATCACGAATCTTGAACACCAACAATTTGACAGCAACTGCAAATCATCTGCGGCTCAATATCGCATACTTGGTGAAACAGTCAGCCACTACTGGTTCTCAGTAACACAAACCCATAAACCACGCGACATTGTCTACTCCCTCGGACAACCGGACAACCCAAACCGTGAGTCACGCTCAGATTGCATGGTGGAACTAGCCCGCAACTACCACGACAAAGTTCAGACTGACCCAGATGACCCTAGCCTTGCTGCGCTTACAGCAGCCACACGCACCTCCCTACAAGCAATCAACCGTCATCTAACAGCCGACGCGGCCAAATTTCTATCTGACAATCTCTCCTACAATGATGTAGCAGCCGTCCTAGACAGCGCTGCTCCAGGAAAAGCACCAGGTCTAGACAGCATTCCCTATGAGCTCTGGAAGCACCTCGCACGAGAACACAACCAGGCCCTGAAACAGGGCAAGACCACCTCCTTCGACATCATCCTGGTGCTACAACTAATGTTTAATGACATCGAACTCCATGGGGCCGACCAATCCACTACCTTTATGGAGGGCTGGCTATGTCCTATATATAAGAAAAATGATCGTGACTTGATAAGCAACTACCGCCTGATCACAGTACTCAATGCTGACTACAAACTCTTCACTAAGTTCCTGGCAAACAAACTACTCACAGTCGCACCCGACATTATACATGAAAACCAAGCGGGCTTCATGCCCAACCGCCAGATATTTGACTAAGTTTGCCTCGCACAGGCCATGATCGACTATGCAGAAGCCACGGATTCCAACGGCGCGATCATAGCCCTCGACCAGAAGAAAGCTTATGACCGCATCCAACACTCCTACCTCTGGCGTGTCCTAGAACGCTTCAACCTGCCACCGCAATTTATTCATACGGTACGCTCACTCTATCAACACGCCTACACCTCAGTCATAATAAACAGAGAGCGTAGCTCCCCCTTCCAAGTCACACGAGGAGTACAACAAGGTGACCCCCTATCATGTCTACTATTCAACCTGGCTATTGAACCTCTGACCTCCATGCTTCGACAGAGCAAACTATCTGGCTTCCACATCCCGTCAGCCCCAGATTGGCTAATTGTCACACTATTCGCTGATGACACAATGGTGTACCTATCAGAATATGACCACTTCTCTGACCTATCGGCCATACTAGACACATGGTGCGTGGCCTCCGGGGCCCGTTTCAATGTAAGCAAAACCGAAATCATTCCAATTGGTACTACTTGCTACCAATCAGCTGTAATAGCCTCACGCTTACTCCAGCCCGGTCAACCAGCCCTTCTAATGGCAAATATCCCTGATAATGTCCACATTGCAGCTGATGGTAATGCCGTCTGCCTTCTTGGCGCATACATAGGCAACCGGACCACCTCCTTCATAGTATGGGGGCCCTGCATTAACAAAATATGCGACGGCCTACATCGATGGGGCTAATACAAACCTTCCCTGGACGGCAAACACCTCATAATCAACATGATAGTAGGTGGCATGAGCCAGTACCACACCTGAGTCATGGCTATGCCAGCCCACATCGAGAGAACTCTAACACGCATCATTCGCGACTTCATCTGGGATGGCGCTACTGTCCCGCCCATCTTCTACGACACTCTATGCCTACCAATAAATGAAGGAGGAATTAAACTCCTCAACCTACACTTCCGAAACTAAGCCATTGACCTTCAATGGCTCCGATCCTACCTCGACTTCTCACTACGCTGCCCACAATGGACGTACGTAGCCACCTTTCTCTACGGCAAAAGAATCCTCTGTAATTGCGCATATGTAGCTCCCACAGCACGAGTCAACCACTTCCTCCAAACCTGGAGAGTCAGCCAACGTGCGCCGAGGCCATCCCCCCGCCATAGCCAACAGACTTACTGCACAGCCAGATGCATCTCCCAACGACGCCACCCCAGATACCACTTGCGCACTCTCCGACTATCTACTGGCCATGATAAGAGTAGCCGACCTCTCCTCCACTCGACTATCAGCTGCAAAAGCTGGACTGCACCACCAAAAAGCCGCATGCCTCTCTGGTACTACCTAGAAAGCACACTGCCCCT